GACTTCCAGGGTCCAGGGAGGAGGGTGCTGATAAGCTACATTTCTGTTGAGTGCCCACCAAACCTTGGGTCCCCGTGTGTGTCAGGTAGATTTGGATGAACAAGGCAAAGGCATGACAAGAACCCACGGAGTGACTAGATACCCCTTCAGTGGTCACCCCTGTTGGTGGCAGCTCTTCCAGTCACCTGGGTCACACCATCCTGTATGTGGTCACCAGCTGTTGTCCTAGGAGCCAGCCCACCTGTAGCCAGGGTCCAGATGCCCCGTGAGTGCCGAGATGTCTGACAGGTGGGGGTCCAGCTGCAAGTCAGCAGGCTGGCTGGCTGCCCGAGCTTGGGTCTCGGACCAGCCCTCAGTCGCAGTGGTTAGCAGGCACTGCTCTCTGGCCTGGTGCCAGCTGCTGCCCCGAATAAGCCTGGGAGACCAGGCTGGATGAGCTTTCTGGAACTGGCACAGCCTGCTGGCCACTTCCTTTTTATCTCAGAGCCTGTGGCAGAGCTCTGGGTCAAACGATAGTCATTTGCCTGGCATCTCAGATAGTTTCCAACAGCTGGACCCCACCTGTGTGACACAGCATTGCTCATAGGTCTCAGACTTGCCTTTGCCTCAAGAATTGGCCCTTTTTATCAAGGACCCGAAAACCTTGTGTAGAAAGCACCACCCAGATGGGGAAACAGAGTAGGGTGTCTCGTCACACTGGTGGGTGGAGACTCCCCAGAATACACCATGCTCAGGGTTAGGGAGAGTCCCAGAGGGGCTACCCAATGGCGTCCTGAGAAATAACAGATTGAGGGGAGGAGCCGCTCTGTGTCCTTCGCTCTTGTGGCCCTCAGGGGATATGGTGCCCTTGCAGTCTGCAGATGACTGATCTGAACCAAGTCACCTAATCAGGCCAGCACTTGAGTTGGACCTTACAGCTGGGCTCTGAGATCCCCTGAGGCCAGAGGGTGAGAGCAGGAGGCCCAGCTGAGGGATCTTTCTTCACTGGACAGCGCTTTCAGTCCTTGAGGCGTACCCGACATGAGGATGGGGGTACAAGTGGAGCCACCATGGAAGGACAGGAGCCCCTTAGCAGAGGGATGGTGACTTTGCAGCATAGCCCTGGGATCCCGGCTCCTTTGCCAAGGTTGAGCTGGGTGCCCCTGCCAGCCAGCTAGGTGGGTTATGTTATAGCCGGGCGAGGAAGGGACTAATGAGGAAGGACTGTGGAATGAGCCATCTGCACAGAGCCTAGAGCCACCTCCCCTCTGGGGGGCACTGGGCTTTATCTCCTTCGCCTCAGCTGCAATGAGCACAGCCATGCTTGTCTGGGGGTGCTGGCTCAGGGAACCCTGGAGATGGCTGGCTTCTAGCGAAGGTGCCCTCCTGATAGCCACCCACCTTTATCAGCCTGCTGGTGGGCCTGTGCCCTGGTGAACCCCATTCTCTCCCTAACTGCAGTACAAGTACTTTCTCCTAATCTCCCTTCCTGGAGGGGCTGCGGCTGCAAGTCAGTATTCCTGGTGACAACAGCAGCAAACCCTCTTACATCTCTGTACACCCAGAACCTCCCAATCTGCCCATCAGCCCCTCCTGCAGGTGTGGGAACTAAGGCTCAGAGGAGTCAGGCATCTTGTCCAGCTGGTGGAGTTTAAAGCAGGGCAGCTGGGCCGCAAACCCAGTCCACCAACTCCTCCGAGGACTGCTTTTGTTAAGGTTAAAAGATACTGAGTCCTGATGGAGTCGCCTATTAAGATTATATTTTGTTTTGAAATTTTTTAAAAAGGAACACTATGAGAACAATAAAGTGCCTGTTTACTCAACAGCCAAAGTCAATGAAAATGAAAATTTCATCATGTGTTTTGGTTCTTTTTATGAAGAAATAAATATTATATAAAGTCCCCTTTGTCCTGTGATCTGGTCCCTTCCCCTTCTAGACTGTGGGCCACCAGCCCATTGCCTGTCCACAGTCTGGACATGTTTAATGTCTCGAGATGGTACTGCACTGAGGGAGGGAGCCTCAGGGCAGGGGGCTCTGATACCTGCTGGGCAGGGCTCGGCACAATTTGGCCGGGAACAGCTGGGTTGGATCTTGGAATGGGCAGGGGTGTGCCTTTTGTTACCAATGGAGGGGCTTTGGGGTGTCAGAGGAGTGGCCTCTGTCCCACCCTAGTGACAGCTAAGACCCCCTCGGTGTCAGTGTCCAATAGGATAGCCCACAGACTGGGGGCTCTGGGCAAGCTGTCTCCCCTGGAGCTTCAGAGTCCTCATTTGTGAAAGGGAGAGCTGCCCCTGCTCCCCAAGGAATGGGAGGGCGGCAGAGGGTGAGTTGAGCAGAGGATTCAGCCAGAGCTGGCTGTGCTTGGTGCTGGCAGCACTGCTCTGGTTTCTGAAGCAGGGTCTAAGTGCCCACTGTGAAGAGAGGACCAGCTTGTTTGAGGGCTGGTGGTAGCAGAAAAGCTGCCTCAGGAATCGAAGGGCTTGC